GAGATGGGGATCTCCTCGCGCTTGACCTGATACTGGCAACAGGTTGGGGGATGCGGGTGCCTGGAGAGGCAGGTCGAGATGGGATGGAAGTGACGTGATGGGAGGTAGATCGCGACATGCCAGCGTACCGAAGTGCTGGGCCATGGGGATGCTGGACTCGTCGGATCGGTACGTAGCACCCTTTGTCTTCATCGGTGGTGATGGACCGTGGGGTTCGATTAGGGCACGGTTGCCGATCACAGATAAAGAAAGGGGCTAGGTTGCCGTTGCTTCCTGGGTCGTCGCGAGAGACGTCGGCCTGCTCCTGGGTGTCGAAGGCGTGCTCTAGTCAAGAGCAGTCGAAGAATTCGTCAGCCATGTTGAGGGGGGGGGAGGAAGGGGAGGTGCGCGTGCTACAAAAGGCCGTGCTAGCTAGCTTACACCTACGGCGCCCGAGAAGACACTAAGGTTCGCAGTTCACGTGGGGCCCAGTACTGCTTTTGGCTAGTATGCAGCAGGAACCTAAGCCACGCGTCCGTGAGGACAAGTATCGCCCACTGAAGTGCAGATACTGAAGAGTTCGTCCCTTAAGTGGTGGCGATGTATCGTAGGCTATCTACGTATTGTAGGGTATAGTAAGGGTGCGCACCACCTGACCTATGGGAGAGGAAAAGTGAGTGTTTTGTTTTGGAACGCTGGCAGCATTGGGGAGTTTCGACCTAATGTCACGACTTAGGGTCGAGCAACAGGGGAAAACCAAAAGCTGGGGGTGTTCGACTTATCTTACCGAAGCGATGGTGAGCTGGGCTCAAACCTAAGGCTAGGGACAAGTTAGTTAGTTATTGAAAGGTAAGTAAGTACAGGGGCTTACTGACCTAGGGACAAGTGGTCGAAACTGAGGTCCCTAGGGCAGCAGAGGCAGGCTTATATACAGGGGGAGTTTAGGGGAGGCTGTGCGCGCTGGTCCGTGCACAGCTGGTCCGTGCGCAGCATGCCGACGCGGCCCCGGGGGGCCAGTGAGTCAAAGCGGCTGTGTCAGCGGAGCCCGAGCTGTGCCGCGCACTGCTGTCCTATCTAATCCAATCGTACAGTAGATAACAGCGCGTCCATATCCGGCAGGTGGTACAGAGGTCGCGGGTTCGAGCCTGCGAAAAGGAAAAAATTAAAAAACGGCTAGATGCCATGCCAACTCGTGACAGTTTCAACCTCTTGTCCCTAGGTCAGTAAGCCCCTCATGTATTCTCTTTCTTACTTAACTAACTAATACATTTCTTGTCCCTAGCCTTAGGTTTGAGCGTAAGCTCACCATCGCTTCGGTGAGACCCAGTCGAACGCCCCCAGCGTTTAGGTTTGTTCCTGTCGCTTGACCTCAAGTCATGACAGGTTGGGTTGCTCGCGGGGGTTTTAATATTCCTCGAAGACGGCGGACGCGCTGGGAGGTGAGAGCTGTGCCGCCACTGTCGCATCCAGGCCGGCAAGGACGCGCAGCATATACAGCTGCGCCTCGTCACGAATGCATATTTGACGCGTTTGTAAGCCGCTAATCTGGGGGGCCGTGTTCTGTGGCCTCGGTGGGAGTCGTCCGCTCACATGGATTGACCAATCCACCGGCCTCGGAACTCGAGCAACGTGCAGTTGCCTCAGCGATGTCACTCCATGCCACTAGACACGGTCACGTGCATCGTGTCCTGTACGCACGTCCATTGCTCCAGCGCTCAGCCTCCTTCCCGCAGTCTGAACAAGACCTCTAGGCAACGACATCTCACCGACGGTTCCGTCTCACTGTCCTCACCATGGTCACAATCCCCAGAATCAAGAGAGATATAAGGATTCTGTATAGATCTCTCAAGCCCCAGAGGCTAGAGAATCAAAAGGCGGATATAGAGAACCGCACGGCTATGCGTTCATTGGGTAGAGGAAATCGCGCCGGGTGAAGACAACTTCAAACCGCGGCAAAAATGCGCAGCGTGCCATATGCATTCGAGGCGCGACTCACTTTCCTTTCCTCTGTCTCTCCGGATGTAGACGTTGTTTGATCACATAACACATACCATTTTGCTCTATATACCGCTTGCGAAGACGGCGTGGGTGGAGTGCAGGCAACGTCGCGCGTGCCAGGTGAGTTGCTTTTGTTGATCATTAGGATGGCCCACGAATGTATTCCCGCGCTGAATCTGAGCTGAAATCTGCTCGGATTCCGTACTGTGAACTATCCTAGCACGCACGAGCGAACGTCGCACACGTCTTCACTGTTATATCGAACCTTGCGTCCCATTTTTGGTCTTGTACATCGTCGCGATCGCATGACGCGCATATATGGACGCTGTCAGATCGCTACTGTCATGCACCCTTTTTTTTTGTTTCGTTCTATGTAGTCTACCTTTTCCATGGACGTTTAACGACCATCAAAGAATGGATTGCAGGACGACGCAGGGAATATGCAGGAACGTGTCTAATAATATTCACAGACGCATTATCCATCCTGTAGCGGCATGACACGAAGTACATCTTCTCTCCATACTACTCCGCCGGGCGGATCGCATGCTGGGTCGGCCACCTGTCAAATTGGCCCGACGCTTTGTACATGGCGATGAACTCCGAGCCGTCCCCCTGCGCCCACTTGTCAGCGCGGAATCCGGGAGACAATCACGACGCGCGTCGAAGGCACTCACAATCATCGAGGTAGGGAAGCCGACGTCAAACGGGAGCACATCCTCGAGGTGCGCGATCTGCGCGGGGCTCAGCGCGATGTCCAGCGCGGCAATGTTGTCCATCAGGTGCTCGACCTTGCGTCCGCTGACGATTGGGAACACGTACGGCGATCGCCACTGCATACGAGTGCAAAAAGACAGCGTCGTCAGTCGCTGCTGCAGGGAGCCTGTGAAGAATACACACCGGACGTGATGCTCGGCGCGCCCACCTCCTGGGCGACCTTCTCCAGCGCCTGGCACACCCTTCTCTGATCGGGAGTGCGCTCCCACTCGTTTGAGGCAGTCCTGCGGCCTGTTTGCAGACTGGCACTCAGCACGTGCATCGCTAGAGACTAGCAATCAATCACACACCCAGCTCGCCCGTCTCACGCCGCCGCTCCTCCTCTTCATCGGTACGGATCCTGCCTGCCGCAAGGACGTTCCACGGCGCGAGCGCCATCCCTAGCGCACACACGGTCAGCGGCCTGCACCCTCCACAGTGCATGCGCACGACAGACCTTCCTCGCGCGCCATAGGAATGAATTCGCGCTCAAAGTCATGCTGCAGGATGCTCCACGCGCCCTGTTACACCACGAAGGGCGTCTTGCCCGTGAGGCGCGCGTACGTGTTGGCTTTTGAGACCACCCACGCGGGCGTGTCGGAGACTCCCTTGCACGGTGTGAGCTGCTGCCGCCGCGCCGTTGCCTACCGCCAGAAAAATGCGTACTAGGTAGAGCACCTTCCTCTGTGCGATGAGGTGGTGCAGGCCGTTCATGACCTCCTCGATGCTGCATTCCCAATCCCACTGCAAGCACGCGATCAGGCCGTGAGTGACAGCGACGACGCGCAACAGGCGAGCGTACCCAGTGCAAGTAGAGAATGTCGATGTAGTCCGTCTGCAGCTTCGAGAGCGAGGCCTCGACGGAGAGGTAGAGCGACTTCATGTTATTGCCGACGTACGTCGACTTTTGCGGGAGGTCCGCCGCGCGCTTGTAGTTCGTCGAATACTGGCTCTCCGCGCGCGCACATCAGCACAACGCGCTCCCGGCCCAGTATGCAGCACACCCACGCACCTTCGTTGCAATGACCATCTGATCGCGCACGCCGCGCGCGGCCATCCACTCGCCGAGGAAGCGCTCGGACGTCTCGTCCTGGTACGCGTTCGCAGTGTCAACAAAGTTGCCGCCCGCGGCGTAGAACGCGTCCAGCAGGCGGAAGCTGCGGTCTTTGTCCATCTCGCCCATGCCGTACTGGCCCCACTGGTCGCCGATGCTCATAGCGCCGAGGCAGATGGGCGAGACGTGGATGCCGGCGAGGGGCGCGAGGCGGCGATGGCGGCCGAGCTTGGTCGCGGGTGGGGGCGCGGGGGCCCAGAAGCGCGAGGGGCGGGACATGTTAGCTTAGTTTTGGCTTCGTGTGAGGGTGTAGGATGAACGAGCACTAGGCGAGAGCGGTGGGGGTTTTGAGGGCTGCAGATATCTGTTCATTGTGATATATATGTGGTCCTGTGGGTCGGACGTGCGGGTGGGGTGCGCTGTAGCAGGTGCTATCGCCAGACGTGGACATAGCACATAACGCGGTCTGTTACTACGCCCGCGCGCTGGTGCATAGTAAGCTTCAATGGATAGCCGCGGGAGGGCGGTTATGTTTATAGAGAACAGTTTTGTTTGGATCTAAAACCGGACAGAGAGGGCTGCACATCGGCGGAAGGGGGGAGCTAGGCCTCAACCGCTGTCAACCTCTGGCGCATGTTGCATCGTCGATCGTGATCTTGATTATTGCCGCTGGCTGCCTGAGATAGTGCCTGTCCTTCATGAGCACCAATCCCCCTCTTATGATGTTCCGAGGAGATTCATCAAGCGGCCGTTCCGCTACCAACATGTCTTGTGCAATCTACTACCCTTTTGCCAGGAAGATTGAGACCACAATGAACTAGTATTTATGCTCGCTTTTGCTGCCTCTTCCTCATAGCGTCAGGCCAGAATTGTGTATGAGCGACCTTGCCCAATCTCAATATTCGTAGGCTTGAGTGAGCTTATCCTTGCCAGGTACTTGGCCCCTTAGCTTGTGATGACGATCCCAACCGCGCAAGACGAGATGCGCAACCCGCGCTCGTTTGGGGACCGTTTTGGAGACTATTAATACTCCGGCAGACCCAGAGCATACGAGTCAACTGTGTGCTGGATCCCAGTGGATATGGGCAACGTTGACTCCGTCCTCTGGCAATTAGTTGATGGGTGTGCTGCTGGTATTGGCAAGTATGTTCGTCCTGCAGATAGCTGTTGATTGCAGTGTGATTTTATATGTGAGCTAACGTGATCCTGCCATTTCCTTGCAATGTTCTACGGCACTGCCACTTTTGAGCGGCGGCGGTACAAGAGTAGACGCTCAACAATGAGGAGGCTTACAATGAAGCTGAGCATGAGTGTCATGGCTAGTACGCGATTGTAAAGTCAGTGAATGAATGGCTCCTCAGATGTTCACGCGTCGATGAAGAAGCACAGCCGATCAGTGGTCTGTTCATGCAACGAATCATCGCACCCGCTGAGTCCTGGATTCAGAGCACATTCACGACGAGCCCGCAGGTGTGGATAAGATGACACTTGTGATAGTGCTAAAACGTTCACAAGCCTAACATTCCGTGACCCTCCTCTGTTTGCGAAGAACAGATAGGCCGATTGCTCATGATCTAGTGTCACATGTAGAACCACGCTCCTCAAGGACCCATGCTGGTGTGTCAGAACATCGTCCCTGTAATTTCGCAAGGAGAAAATTGATTAGAGCATGCATAGCTGTTAAGACGTGGACAAAGGAAAACGTCCCGCCGGGTTCGAGGAATTGACGAGAGCGAGCACCAGCATCACCGAATGGGGGCTCTATGTGCGGTGCGTGGACCAAGGATAGCGACTAGGAAGATTGAGCACGATATGATGCATGAGGTATTGAGAAGCGAGCGCGCCTCTCGAGCGTATCGCACTATTCCTGAGGGAAAACCGGGTGGGTACATGTCTCATGTACAGTCCAGCTTCAACATAAACAGGTGGTGGAACTCTACAGGAGGTTAGATAACGGCAGCTCGAGCAAGCTGGCTCACATACTGGGCGGTTGTACCATCGATCCTCGGTGCGAGTCGCGGCGATCCTCCATGGTAGGGTCGAGGCGGCAATCTCAGCATATGGACCACGCGGCCGATTCGCTTGGATTGCTCTTGAGCCATTTGGACGCCCAGTACGAGAGTTATTTGAAGTGCGAGGTCAAGCAAGAGAGCGCGGCGATGCCATCATTCAGCCTTTTTAACGAGGAAGCGGTTGGGTATAGAGCGATGACCTGGTCATGCAGGGACGCGGGGGTTTTCCTCGACGATCGTGCAGTGGTCCAGTGTTTGTATGCAACAGTGCCACCGGACCCTCCGTCAATAGACCAATCACCGAATGGTGTCTAACATTACTCGTTGGTGGAATACGTACAAAGACGGTCTGTTTGTCCGACTATCAGATCAAACAAACCTGTATGACATAGCGAGGATCTGGTCTTGCGACGGAGAGGACGCTAAAAGAATGGAGGTGACAGTTTTGGAGATAGGATCAGCGGCTTGTATGACGGTCAAGGAATGAACTTACAGCATTGCCCTCATATACAATGCAACGAGGACAAACTTTAAGTCCGACTAGAGGCTGCGCACTCAGTCGCGCTCGTCCTAGAGCGGGTATATAAATGCGGCGCCACAGTTGAGCTGAGCTGCCGTATAGGGTTGTGATGTTCCCATTCTCGCAGCACACCACGATCTAACCGTGGAACTGAGTCAGGAAACGCCAGTGTTACCCAACAGATGCGTCTCTTACCTAATCTCTGCCGCCGCCTACAACGGAACTGCATATGTGACTGGGGATCGTTCATTGAATAACAAGAACCTGTGTTCCGAACATCGTAAATGGAGCAAGATGAACGCAGGTTCAGCATACCGAATGCTTTCATCAGAAGTAAGGTGGTATGTATCGACGCCTGATAGACGCCACGCATGTAGTTGCATGTCACTGCCACCGCCAGAAATAAACTCCGAGATGCAGCTGATAGCCCGAGAGCTGCAGACATCATAGGAGAATATACTGAATATGAGGGGACAAAGGCAATGCAATGCTCCTCAATACAACTATGCTTCCCGTCCCTTGCCAGCAATCGCCAGGCACAGCCAGGGAGCACGTCTGGCTCACCAGTGAAGAGCGGAGAGGCCAGGATCAGTTGCTTGTGGCACATCGTGATCACACAGGCTCCAATCGCGACGGCGTGTCGACCATAACAGACCTTTATGGGTATATTTGAAACCTGTCCGCAAAGCGTAACAGAATGAGGGATAAGGCCAAATGTCAAAACTCGGGACCGTGTCTGTGGATGATTTTAGTTCGGATAAGACGACGTCAGTTACACTTGCACCTGCAGATCTATCAGAGAACATACGTAGAGAAATAGTCTTCATCAAACCAGAGTTGTTCTACAGCACGTACCACATCGCTCGCTTCCTCTTGTTGATAAACGAGCAACTCTGGATCATCAGGTTCCGCAAGCGGTCCTATCGTCCATTCGTCTCGAGCTTGTTCGCAATCCCGACACCACTCACGGACTCTGGCTACTTGTTGGGCATATTCTTTCATCGTGCAGGCCTCACTGTCCACCCTGGTGTTCCCAGAACGTTTCCTCTTTATCCCTGAGACGATTGGCCGGAATCGGCGAGGAAAGCAAGCTGTGTCGTCATCCGACAGGGGAGAGCAATATTCGGTCAAGGGGCGGCAGTAATAACCATCAGGACAGGGTGAGAGTTCGCCGGTTGTCCATAACCGTCTGTGGGGTACCATCTCTGAAAACAGGGGTTCTGTCCACAACGCATACTGCGAGATTATGCTGTACGCATGATTGACCTCCTTGTGGGGCAGCAACTCCCGCAAGATTTTCTGGTAGTGCAGTGGTCGCTTGCTCAATTTTCGACCCGCTCGAAAAGCCATCGAATAGAGATCGGCGTCCAGCTCGTGCCATCCAAGCGAGCGATATGAACATGGTGCCGTCAGCATGGGAGGTGGGATAGGGTGTCCCATGGTCGCGCATGAGTCTGGAGGGTGCTCGTCCTCTGCGATGACGTAATACTTGTACACCTGCGTCACCATAAGCACGCGATTGGTCAAGAGTGTGTACGATACATACAGTGCAATACTCGAAATGCTCTAAATGCTGAGGATGTGGTATCATCAACAAGCGGTTCGTTTCCCACAGTTCCCGGAGGTCGCGTCGAACTGCATGCGGTAGGTGAGGCTTCAAAGGACGGAGGGAACCATATCAACCACGCACGAAATATAATATTCTCAGGCTCGTGACAAAGAAAGGTGTCATAGTCGGTACGCATGCTGAATGTCAGGTAGTCAATCTTTCGATTCACCTTGTCAGCCACAAAGCCAAAGGAGCAGTCATGCGTACTCACTAATAGCTGAGGCATGTCTGGAGGCAGTATATAACATGCCTCTACATCAGCAGACACGCACCCAGTGATCATGCACCTCGGGTGAGGTCCGAAAGGAATGCGGTCCTTGGACGCCTCGCTTGCAGTGCCGGACGTGCGCATTCTCTTGGCAGGAAGTTCATCAGGCTCTGTATCCGGACACCGTTTGCGCTTCGGCGGGCGGGGGATGTCTTCAACTGGCGACTCTTGTTCAATGTGGAGGGAGGCCGGCTCGACTGCTTCTGGGTGGACCAGCTTGATGATGGGTATATGTACAAGAGCGTCTATAGGTAATAAGTGCTGGTAGTGGAGCGGTTGCTTGATGAATTCACGACCCACTCGAACTGTCATCAGATGCAGGTTTGCACTCAGGTCATGCCACCCCAGCGAGCGATACGAGCTAGTAGCTGTCGCAACTGGGGATGTAGTGGTATCATCCCTGGGGTTGCCCGAGTCTGGAGGGTGCTCATCCTCTGCGATGACGTGGTATGTGTAGACCTACGCGACTGTGAGTACGGCGACCACCTGGAAGGGCATACTATACATACAGGGCGGGTATCGGGGTGATTTATATGATCGGGATGGGGTATTATTAACAGGCGGTTTGTTTCCCATAGTAAACGCAGGTCGCGTCGGACTGCATGTGGGCTGTAAGAGAAGGTTTAAAGGACTGGCTATCAGCAAGCACGCACGGAATATGATGTTTGCAGGCGTGCTACAATAGACGGCATTAGAGTCAGTAGGCACGAGAAGCGTCGTGCAGTCGTTCTACAAAGCTGCCTTGTCAGCTGCGAGGCCGAAGTAGTAACCGCCCTACTCACTAACGGTTGGGGCGTGTCGGGAGGCAGGATGTAGCACGCCTCCACCTCAGCAGACACGCAGCCCGTAATCATGCATCGAGGGTGAGGTCCAAAAAGATCGCCATCCTTGAGCTTTGACGCGTCGCTCGGACTGTCAGACAACCGCCTTCTCTTAATGCGGACCTCATCGGTCGTCGGGTCCGCACATCGTTTTCGTTTCGGCGGGCGCGCGGTGGCTTCAAGTGGCACGTATAGGTCAGTACAGGGGGAGACCACGTGAACAACATCCGGGTCGACGACCCTACTCTTCGTGTAGTCGTGAATGGGAATGTGCCCAAGACCGAAACAAGCGCGGTCCTCGGCCTTAGTTGCGTCGCTCGAAGTGCCAGACGTCCACGCTCTCTTTGCACGAACGTCACAGGCGCTTGTGTCCGCGCATCGCTTCCGTTTCAATGGACGGGAGACGTATTCTAGAGCCGGGTCCAATGCATCGGGCTCGACGTCCCCGACACTTTTGCAGTCGCTGTTGGGTATATGGGCAAGACCGAAGAACGCGTCGTCATCGGCCCTAGTCGCGTCGCTCCAAATATCAGACGGCAGCGGCCTCTCTGCGCGGACTTTATCAGTCCTTGTGTCCGCCAACCGCCCGCGTTTAAGGAGACGGGAAATGGCTTCTGGTAGCGAGTAGTCCGCGTCTGGTTCGACAATACCAATGTCCGTGCCGTCGCCAGTGGGTATATGCTGACAATGGTCATCAAAAGAGATAGATGGTGCACGACTGAGTCCAAAGACGGGTGTAGCGGGTGGAGAGCTTTCGCGTGAAGAGCAGCTGCCAGTGTCGTCCGAAAGCG